CAGCGGCGCAGATGCGCGAGCTTGTCGAGTGAATATCCCTTTCTCACAGACATCACTGGAAAGTTCGTAGTTCGGTCGGATATGTCAAAAAGAAGTACGTAAAACAATGCACAAGTTACTTAATGGTTGGTAGGGAGGGAGGAAGGGAGAGAGAGAGAGCGCACACTTCTGTTGTGTGATCTTTATTGATGTTCGCTCACTTAGCACGCATCATTTGAATTAAAACTAAATCGTAAAAATACAACCATTCATAGGGGCATTCACTATAAACATCATGTTGCCGCAGGCATCACAGTATGGTAAGGGACCTAACATTTCCGTCACACGCTTGAGGAATTCGGCCAATCACAACACACTGGATAGCTGGCCAATCAGAGCACACCTCGCTTTTTCAGAACGATGAGCTTTGTAAAAATCGACACGTTTCAGAAAGGCGAGGCATAGAGGAGAAACAATAATGTACAGTATGTGGAAAATAATGTGTTTTTTTAACCTTAAACCGCATAAACACATTACACCAAATACACAAAATAATGTTATTTTTAGCAACATCATATGACCCCTTTAAGAAAATAATTGCGCAAATAACTGCAATTGCAGGTTTACAAACAGAGATGGCGACAAAGAGGCAAAACTTACGGACTGCAGTGACCTCAACTTGAGGTACTTCAGCTCTCATATATAAGTACATGGTTTAGACAGGTGCTCTGTGGTGTAAAACATAAATATGCTGTATTTGTACCTTCTTTCCCCCATATTCTTATGGCGCGGTCTCCGCCGCATGACGCGAGCAGCGTTCCCGCCGGGCTCCACGCGACGTACCAGCAGCTCGCGTCTGCGTGCGCACTCACCCTCTGCAGCAGCTCCAGCGCGCCCTTCATCTCGTATAATAACTCTATGATATTTGTGATTATATGACATGCAAGTCTCCCCCGATCAGCCACACTATCCTCTCTCAAATGTCACACTGCTTCAAGACTTGTGTTTATCAGCAGCTTACCACTTCCTGCTTCCTGCTTCAGTGCTTTCCTGTTGATGCAAATGCACGGCAGCAGCGCCACCATCAGGACTGCAGCGAAAGTGTTCATGAATATAGAAAAATGAGAAGCAATATGGAAATGCTTACTTTGCATGCAACTTAATTATTTTGCATGCAAAATATTTTATTCTCAAATGCAAGTTTATGAAAGTTACCCCCTACTTATCTTATTTTCAAAAAGATATTAAAATCTACATTAAATCTTTATCTACTTCCAGTAACAAAAAGGCAACTAAAACTTTGAATGTATGCTCACCTTTTGGTGTTTTTGTAGAATTTTTATTTAATAATTAATTTCTTTTGTTGGAAAGATTATGTTTATTGTTATGTGATCTGCTTATTTCATTTTTTCCCATTTATTTAAATTTTTAAATGTTTCTTTCTCTCTCTTTAAATGTAGTTGCCATGCATTGTTTGGCCATCCTTGGACCCCTGGTGAAAGAGTATGTTTATTTTTATGTGATCTGCTTATTTTATTTATTTATTTTTCATTTATTTACCTTTTTTAATGTTTCTTTCTCTCTCTCTTGAAATGCAATTGCTATGTATTGTTTGACCATCCTTGAACCCCTGGCTTTTTTCATTGGTGTATGTTTTTTCGCAATTGTACTTCAAAATAAAATAAAATAAAATAAAATAAAAGAATAAAAAAAAAATAAAATAAAAAAAAAATATAAAATATATAATTAAATATTAAATAATATTAAAATATATTAAAATAATATAAAATATTAAAAAAAACAGAAAAATTAGCAGAAAATTAGATTTTATGTAATTATTTTAATGGTTGACGATAAAATCTTTCAAATACAGCGAGACCTATTATTGTTTAATTTAATTTAGCTTTGTAATTATATTTAATTTATTTTATTCATTATTTTATTGATTTTAATTTTGTTTTTATGTTTAATTTAAATACATTTTGTTTTATTTTAACTGAAAGCATACGACTTCAATTTCAGTTTTAGCTTATTACGTTTATAAGAGTGGAAGAGTTCAAATAAGAGTGGAATGATCTCTGCATGAAGAACATACTGCATTATGAAGGAGAAAATCTTACTTTTTTATTTTATTGCAGTTCTTAGAACAATAAACATTCAAGGGCAATAACATAAATTACATCGAAACAAATACAGTAATAAAGTAGGGAAAGGATAAGAAAATCACATGTCCAGAATAGTTTCGATTCTTCACACTTTTTAAACGTCACACACATGCTCGAGGACTGACGTCTGCTGAAGGACGCGTCTGATTGGTTCAAACATAGATATGTATACAGTAGATTCCCCATTCGACCGCTCCAGCACGACACGTAGATGCGGCCGCCATCTTGGAACGGTCAACTTGACGTCATTCACCATACTGTAGGTTAGCACAGAGCCGTTGAGCCGTTCAACAGTATATCCAAACTATTTAATCTTCCAAGAATTTCAAGGCTTTTAAAACGGTTAATTTATTTAATCTTTTTAATTTATTTTGTATTGTTTATTTATTGTTACATACGTCTATAAATTGTGCTTTGCATGTAATGTCACCTCTTTGTATGTAATGTTGATATTCTCTGTATTTTTATATTTGGTACCTGGGCATTAAAAAAAAAAAAAAAAAGTTAAACAAACAAACAAACAAAAAAAAGAGCCGTTGAGCCGTTGAGCCGTTCTGTGCAGGATTGTGGCATCTTTCGAATATTCAGTGATTACTATGGTGAATGACGTCAAGTTGATCGTTACAATATGGCGGACGGCTTACGTATAGCGGCCCATAGAAACAGTCGCTAATGAGGCATCTACGTATACACATCTCTGGGTTCAAACGGCAACACACAGGAAGCGGAAGTCTGAGACAGGAGAAGCTCGCCGTCTGATGGAGGAAGTGGACGGACTATTGTTTATGTTTTTACTGGAAATCAACAATAAAACACGCGAAAATGTCTACGATATAGCGGCGATCAGCAGGATAATTCGAAACTGAACACATTATATATTTCTTTCATTAGGTTGCTTATATTTCGGTGGGATTTGAGAAGGTTTTAAAGGGTTTTGTGTGTGTTGTGAAGGTGTAAGGCCAGTTCATGTAATAAATTATCAAATCTGATTAAAAACTTACAGAGGAGCTTCAGTTACAGCAAACAGGTAAATATACGGTTTAAATAAAATGTATACTTGTTTTTATATATATATA